AACTTCTGAGCTTTATCTACTCCATCAAACCCCATATATTTTTAAAAAAAACCTTAGATTTTTTTTTGGGCCCTGGTGAGTCACTTGACCCACCAAGCACAAGGCCAGGTCCGCCACTGTACCCTGGTGCTATGTTGCTCCAATCCAGATACTCATGTCCGATTTGGGTACATGTCCAAATGTCTAACTCGGTTATCTAGTTAAAAAAATTCATGATATGGCCACAATTGAAGGGTCAAATTATACTACCATGTTTGATTGTCAACATTTGACATGATGCCTAACATAAAATGAAGAGTACGAATAACATAACACGGGTGTAACTAAACTACTATCCTACAACTACCGGGCTAATCTAGGGGAATCCTAAACCAAGGTACCCGGGAATACCTAAAATAATACCGCCATGGGCTAATTTTTTAAGTGGAGACATATTCGAGTTCTCATTTACTAGAAGAATTTATCTCACACTTTGGTGCGCCTAACTACCTAAGAAAGGCGTATGCATCACATGTGTGGAGCACATATGTATGCCCAAGTGTAAAATAGAGGCTTTGGTCCTTAACCAAGAACCCTTGAGAAAAGCACTAGAGTACATTATTTAGAAAGATAAAAACAGAAAGAGAGAGAGAAGGGAGACAGTGATGGCCAAGCTTCTATATAAGGCAGCCTCTAATTAGTCTATTGTTCATCCCCTGCCTAAAACTTAAAATTCTTGCTCCATAGATTTAACCTATGCTTCATGCCTTCTCTTTCATTCACTTAACTTGTTCAAAACCCACATTGTCACTTGTGAATCCCACTGCCTGCCAAGTATCTAAAGCTTGCAACACACGAATTGGAAGACAAACATTGGTGAGCTTCTGTTTATCATACATGCATATTTATATGACAAGTATATGTTCACCATATGGTTAATTATATATGGATAAAGAACACGAGTTTATGTGGTAAGTTATGCATACATCAATAATATTTGAATACCACTAGTAGTCTAGTACATGTAATATATTCAACATTTTGCATTTTTGTTAGATCATCTAACAATCTAACCCTAGTGAAGATTTCAACCTTTCAGGATGGTTTAGGTTAGAGCTAGGTTCTCTTGGTGTTTCTGGTTCTCTAGCCTTTTCTCTAAAGTTGTACTCGTGCGAAAGGGTGATATGGGTTGGAGTTTCTTTAAATTTTGCCTGGTAATAATAATGATTGATTCCCTTAAAGTATAGCACATCACCTCAATTAGACTTGTATGCATCTCGCATGCTTTCTACATTATTGGCTATAAAGATGAACAATCCATTCACTAAAATAATAAAGAACAACGTAAAGTGCTTCAAGCCAATAATTTAGGGTAATTAAATAAATTATCTATACTATATTGAATCTGCTAATAAAATAACAGGTCACATTAGACTTTTATAGTCAAAATACAATCAACTGTAATCCTAATTTTCCATCATATAAAAGATATAGATTGACAATCATATAACAGAAACTTTTAAAATTATATATGCATAAACTCGGTAATTTTTTACAAAATAATGTCATAGAACTGTACAAGATTTTAAAAAATGAGAAAATAGAACTATTGCAATAGTAGCTAACACTTCGTATTAATCTCATCCGGCATTAGAGCGAAGTATATAAGAATATGTGGGACCTTCTTACCTTAGGTTAAAACCGAGTATGACCAAACTTGACTCACTGCTCTAATGTTCTTTCTTCTGGCCTATGTTACATGGACTCGGAAATGGGTGTCGGACACGGACACATGTCCAAGTGTCCGATTCAACAAGTTCCGATATTTGGACACGGGTACGGGAACACGCTTCACTTAAATTTATATAAATAAATTATATATTACAAAAACTTTAAATTTTTCATTATGTCTACTCCTATTTTTTTATTATAATTCTTTCCTCGGTAAATTCTCCTAATAAATGACAATCTTCTTCTCTCCATCTTCTCTATATTAATGGTGGTTTTCGAACAAGATATGTTTTTCTTTCATGTTTCTTCTCTTTTTTCCTCTCCTCTCTTAATGGGAGTGTCCGAGTGCACAGTCAAGGATCGGACACGTGTCCTGTGTCCGTGTCCGTGAAGTGTCGTGAGCTTCTAGCTGATTTTTGCCCATCATTTATCTGCCAGACTGCAAAATGTGAAAGAAATGGAGAATTTTATGTAACTACATGATTAGTACAAGATAGATGAATTGTGCTTAAATTCTTAGTAATCAAAATAAGGCAATAAAAATTATTGCTAAAAAAAAGTCTAACAATCTTTGTACAACTAAGTTAGTTACTTAATCAATAAATCCTAGAAAAACTGATCACACTCACACAGACAGTTATTCAAGGAAAAAATTCGACTTCTGAGCATATAAAAAAGGCGGCGTTAGCTTTAGCTTATGTAACAGCTAGTGTGAAATACTCGAAAAATAAAAAATTTCAATGTATGATCATAACCTTGTCATCCCAGATACTCTTATAAACATAGCTACTCCAAGGTGATTTATCATCCCCTTGCTGTCCGTGGAGAGCAGGAGAGAGCACCTGAATACAATCCTACCCAATCAGGAAATACTAAGCTAATCACAAAAATCATGATCTTTGCAAGAAATGATAGGTTGTGTTTTGATATTTTCACCACAAACACATTTCACCAAAGCATGGCTTGCTTATCTCTTGGCTTCGCCTGGGGACCAAAGAATTTTGTTCTGTTGCTACACTGAAGTTGAAGGCGTGCAGGGTAGTTTTTATTTGTACGTTTCCAGACATTAGCTTAATTATGGGATAGAGGGAGTAATAATTTATACCCCAGTCACCACACCAGAATGTCTTGAACTGCAGACCTTATCCCATTGCCACTCAAAAAGGTTCATTTCACTAATGGCGTAAGCTGTCAAAATAACTGACTCTACAATACTTGTATGGAGACTTCCAACTCGTGATAGAAAATATCTCAATACTTGATTACGTGCTCCATCTTTTCAAATTTAGTAGTCTTCTTCACTTTCGATATTTTTATCGTGTGTCCATTAGACATAGGAGTCGTAAACTTCCAAACAAACAAGTCACATTTAGGACAGGAGGAGCACATAGTATGAAATACAATGTTTCTAACTTTCTTTTATACACAGTACATCATTTCGATTATTTTCCTCTCTTCATGATGCAATTCAATCTTTTAAACGGGTACACGAAAGATGATCCCTAAATGTCTTGTATTTAAGATAACATTTTCATTCCCTTGGTTTCTTCTACAAGATTAATTACTTTCCCTGCAAGTTGGGGAAAGTGAGAGGGTGTGTGTGTGTGTGTGTTTAAAGTTCCTATCACGGGAACCCCAATGGGTTTGTCACATACATTGATGGAGCATCAAATCAGGGACCCAAAGTAATTGGTTTCAGTACAACAGTTTAGTAAGAAAGTATGTAGGGCTGAAGGTCGGTGAATAATCACCACGGCCAATTGACAGTTGGGGTTCATCCCTTGAACTGAAATAGACATTTGTCATATTTCAAGATCAAAATTTAGTGGACTTGTGGCCCTTGCTATGTCTCCGCAAAATTAGAAAACTACCTCCATAACAAATTGACTAGTAGTGCCACACTTTCACAACATCAAATGAAAGATGAAGAAATCTTATTAAAATATATAAATAAGCCTCAAAATTTTCATATTGAACAACAGATCCACTATAGTTTAGCTTAACAACATAAAAATGAATCTTTTATTTTTTAATTCCTTCCCAGTGGGAGAGGGTTTACAGAAAATTAAGAGTTGTATCAAATGGAACAGTGGTACCAGAAGCTTATACAGCTGAAACTTAAATAAACACAACTGAGGGGACTAAATTAGATGAAGCTACGAGGAATAAAAGGTGGAAAATTGCCAACATCCAAGGCTAAAATCCAACAACAGTGGAAGCCCAAAAACACCTGAGGCCGAAACTTGGCAACACCATAGAGACGATTATCATATAATTCCTAGATGTGCTCTAGAATGTACTGTACTATACATAAAAATCACCAACATTCGAATTTCAGAAACTTGGGTGTGGATTTGTAATCTTTGGTTAAACTTGGTAATAATATTAAAATTATAGATCTTCGGAAGTTAATATAAGACTGAGCAGTGCCTCAACTCTTGTTTCATGAACATGGAGGCGTCTGTACTAGGTTCATTAGCTCTGATATTAATGACTACAAGATTGTTACATTTCTTATCAACAAATACGCTTCAACCACATGTTGCTAAAGTGTATTGCCTATGACATATATAGCAAGTCTGCATCATCATTTGACAGCTCTAATTTGCAAATAGTTCAAAATAATTAGGGAATGTCGTCCAAACTTATGTGTGGCATTGCACTGCCCACTACAAAATGGCAAGTCCTACGATTTAGATAACTGGATAGCAGAGTCACTTTCAGTTTTTGTACCCATTCTAATTCTCAAGGAGTACTTTGCTTAAACATAAGTGGCCATTATTCCCTCAGTGATCTGTTTGAATCACTTTCATACCCTCTCACTCCTGAAAGAATACAACATAATTGCCTGTCTGAAAGGAAAACGAAGGGTTCTAAGTGGGCCCCTAAGGTTCCGGGAGGAAATTCCGTGACCTGTAGCGTACATGGTTTTAAGCACTCAAGGTCCAAAGCCATTAGATTCAAGCTTGGCATTGCATAGATGGATGACTATTGAGGATGGTCTGATCTGATGAAGGTTTACATGATTTATTCCCCTCTTTGCTTTCCTTATGTAAATCAACATCCCTCCTCATTGAAGTGACAACTTTGCAATTGACCTTAAATAAAACTACGCCTGCTTCTTGCGAGAGAGGAAAGAAAATAGGGGTACTCAAGTGGCCATCTGAAACCGAAAGTTTAACTGTCCCCACATAAAAGGTTTGTGACCCCTTTTTGTCTGTACCAATGAAGCTCAACTGCCTATATATCTACTTCAGAAATCTTAGCTTCTTAAGGTGCCAAATTGAAGCTTTATGGCTCACAATTTAGACATATAATTATATAAAGGAATTAAATATTTCAGATCCTAATAACAGCAAATTAGGCAGAAAAGGGCAAGCTACAGCTAAAAGTTGCAGACAAAGATTAGAAGATTTCAGCCTCACCCAGGGCACTCTGCATCTATATTTGGAGAAACGCTGAATGTTATCTTGCTTCTTCTTAAGCTCACCCTTTTCTTCCATAATTATAGATTTATAACTGCATTGCATGCACCCTTAAGTCAGAGATTCAGAGCCTTTTTTTTTCCTTTGTAAAGAAGCACAACAAATTGTTCACAGAAGGCATACCAAAAACATTAATTATGGTGATTTTTTTTATTTTTTATTGTTCAAGTATAAATGTACAATCCTTTTGACCATAGATGCTAACCTTATTGCAGCAACAATTTTATCACAGGCAAATACACAATCTTAAATATCAGTGTTAGCAATGGGACTTCCTAGAGTGATTGCCAAACTTAGCAACTTGAAGTCAGTCTCAAGCTCGACTTTTGATGAAGACAGGAACACAAATTGGCATTCATATGACTCGTGGCTAGTAAGATTCATATACTTTGTCGTATTTATTAGTGTCCATTTGCAGAGAAATCATAATTACAGGGTCTCTCTGGTGGACCAAAATTTCACAGAAAACAACATAACAGTTCTAGAATGTATGAATTCCTAATACATACTTTGTATGGCATACAGGAGAAGCACCCTTCTGCTTTGGACAAATTCCAGAAGATGATGCATGGAGCTGAGAACAAAAAAATTGTTGTGTTCTTAGATTACGATGGAACCCTTTCACCAATTGTTAATGACCCTGATGTTGCCTTTATGACTGACAAGGTAAACAAATTTATCAAGGATTAGTTATCACTTATATGGTATACCATTCAATATAATTGTGAGCATAGATATCTATGAGACATCAAAAAACAGATAAAGCATAGTTTATAGGATTATATAAGGAAGTCAATACATTATCATGCAATGTCTAGGGAGCTCCACATTTAGGCAGACTTACCATCAAAACACATGTTGATCACTAATTACAACAGAATATGAAAAATTGCAGATGCGCGCTGTGGTGCATGAAGTTGGCTGTTGTTTCCCAACTTCAATAATCACTGGAAGGAGCAGAGAAAAGGTAGCACAATCAATATAATATACATAGAAACATGAGTATATAAGAGATAAACTCTAACTGCAGTGTTCATTTTCTAGGTATATGATTTTGTCCAATTGGACAATATTTACTATGCTGGCAGTCATGGGATGGATATAATGGCCCCATTGCAGCCATTAAGGGTTAGGGATTGGAAGTATCATGCAAAAGCAGTTGACCTAAAGGTTTGGCTTTTCTCCTCTGTTCTAGATTCTAATCTATAAACATATACGAAGTACAATTTAGCATTGACCGCTTCCGTTCCCTCAAGTATCAAAAAAGACAGTATGAAAAATACCACCTAAATGTGCACCATAGCAGAGATTTGTAGCAAGTAGATTCGACTGATTGCGCAAAAAGACATATGAAGCAAAAACCCAATTTACCTTCCCATGAAATGGTTTCTCTCTTGTAGGGAAACAAGCTTGTCATCTATCAACCAGCAAACAAGTATTTGTCTGAAATTAATCAGGTAAACATTCAGCATTCATCTCATATAATACAAGTATATTATTATCAAAAGTCCATATAAACTCAAAAAAACAGAGACATGCATTACTTCAGAGTTAATATATAGCTTGTTATATTAAAGTTAAAGGAAATAAATTACATGAAATAGGTGAAGATAGGGCAAGAGTTGGTAAAACGCGGACCAAGACCACTGAACCAAGTGAGTCTTTGGTCTGTATTAACTTGTTGACAGCTATTGAAGTGTTATCTGGTTGACAGTCAAACATGTCACTTAAATATTCTTGCCAAATCCATTCTATAGATAATGCTTCTACTTAAGGATAAAGATTACAACCACTAGTCTTGGCTAATTTTATTAAAATGGTACTTGGTAAATGGTATAAGATTCATAAATTGCCTGTATAATCATTAATTATTAATCTCTCTCAATTCATTTGATTCAACATAGATTACATTTCCTTGTAGATTCAGATGTCACTAAAAGAGAAAACTGCAGCAATTGATGGTGTGAAAATTGAAGACAATAAGTTCTGTATGTCTGTCCACTTCAGAAATGTATCAGATGAGGTAATTTCTAGCTGATGTTATGAATGATCGTTGTCCAAATTAGTCATTCAACACTCAACAGTCCCAGAAACCTATTCTGAAACCTGAAAGTGAACAGACCACAAACCTTTGAAACTGAAAAGGTTGCATATAGTTAACCAATATATATCAATCACCATAACCCCCCAAGACCAAAAACAGCCAAATATATCAGTATCAGTTGATTGATGGAGAGTAACTAAATTGACAAATTCCTATAAATGCATAGCTTAGACAGTTGTGAACATATTATAGCAGATAAGCACGGGAAAGAAGGCCCAACAAGAACCATGGATCCATCTTTAGGAGGGTTGGCCCCATTCCGAACATGCAGTTTTAGTTCAGTGGTCTGCTGGCTGCCCGAACTCTTTTTGGGTCGGCCTTGGGCCAACACCATTAGGCATAAAGTGCACACTGGCCAGCAAGCCCGATGCGTCAACCTGATATTTTGATGCTAGATGGCCATTATCTGGCCCTTAATCACCTCATTGAACATAGTTATGCCAAGATATTTGAAGATAATTTCTAAAACACGTCTAAGAAATGAACTGTCCGCATTCATATTGTTGTTAATGGTAGCAAACACACACACTCATCATACTTGATGCATCACGCAAGACAATCCCCTTCCCCCATAACAGCATAAAGAAAAGAAAAAGGAGCCTTACAGAGTTACTGTCATGTTAATTCTATAATGGTTGCACAGGTCCTATTTGATCCTAAGAGATGCTACTCCAATCTCACTGCAATACTACTAAGCCTAAATCCCTAAGCCAATTCCAAGCTTTTCACTTTATGGATTATAGGGTTGTGCAATCCTATGATATTTGCTCTTATTAAGAATAATGATAATTAAGCTACATTAGCAGCAGTTGAAGCTTGATAGTGTATGAGTAACCAAGAAAAGTGTTTCTAATAACAGCTCTAAATAAAATGCAGGACTTGAGCTCATTAGAAGAGGAAGTGAAGTCTGTACTTGAAGAGCATCCACACTTTCGGCTAACAAGAGGTAAAAAGGTACAGTAGGGACAATACGGTTTCATATGTCGGACAAGAGGAAAGAAAATATTACGTGATTTTTATATAGTAAGGCTACTTCTTTCTAAATCAGGTCTTGGAAATACGCCCTCCCATTGACTGGGATAAGGGTCATGCTCTAGAATATTTACTTGATAGCCTCGGGTTGGGTAGCTCCAATGATGTTCTCCCAATATACATTGGAGATGACACAAGTGATGAAGATGCCTTTGAGGTATTGATCTGAACTCAGCAGCAAATTGCCACTTTGGGGCAAATAAGCTGTTTTAATTTTTAATTTTACTTTTATAGGAAGAGGTGAAAAGTAGGACATTAATATGGTGTTCATAAATTCATGACCTTCATGTCCCCCATCCTAACTTTTGTTCCAAATTTGTAGCTCATACACCGAAAGAGACAAGGCTATTCCATCATCGTCACTTCCATCCCAAGAGAAACATGGGCATCGTACTCCTTGTATGACACAACAGAAGTCATGTTATTCTTAGAGTACCTAACCAAGTGGAAGAGCATCAGCCCGGCAAGTTAGTACCACAATGTTCAGAAGGGACTCGGTACATTCACAGCTGATTGGCAAGCCACCAGGCCACCAAGTCAGCCAAGGGAAATCGCTATTGACAGGTCCTAAGATCGCTTATTTCACTACTTGATAATCATACATGAACCTAATCACAAAAAAGGCGAAGTCTACTCAGAATGATCTTCTAAATCATGAAGTACACCCCCATTTGGCATCAATATTCAATAACAAATGATGCCTATAGAGGTCAATAGCTTGGTTTTCCCGAGATTTTCTAAATATGATAATATTGTATAATAAAATGTGGGTGTACTTGTTTTCAATAACAATATCCTATTGCTTTCAACAATCTTCTCATTCATCTTCACATTGTTTTTTATTTTTTTTTTGGGAATTTCAGATAAAATTTTCTCAGCAGCAAATTATTCTAGCTAAAAAACCTGCTCAATCAAACATTGCGATACAAATCAAATGAATTATCCAATCAATCAATCATGTAATTTAGGCTCTAAATTCAGATGATTTCCACAGAATTAATCATGTAAGGTATCAATGATCAAAATTATTAGTTGAATAAACTACAGTAAAACCTAAGTTTGAAATTCATATTACAAAAATTAAATTTTGAAGTAGAAAAGATAAAGAAGACTTGAATTGCATATCTGATCGCAAAAATTGGGCGAGAAAAATTTATTTGGCATATTATTGAAATTTAGAGCAGAATTTAGGAGTGAGAAAAAATGACGGCTACAAAAATTTTGTATGGGGCATAGCAAACCTTGTTTGTTTTACCCTCCAAATTTAGAAGGAGATGCAGTACTCGCATTAGTTGATTTCCATCTATTACATGCAGCTCACACGTCGTCCACATTGTTCTGAATCTATTATCGCTTCAGTTATCTATTTAGGCATTATATATTGGACATTTTTTTCGATTGTGGAATTTATTACTTTGTAATCATTTTCTATTGAGTATGTAGCGAAAATTAATGATTTGTAACTCCCATTTGTAAAACTCTCTACGAAATTTCAACTTTGAGAAATTGCTACTTATATTCAGAGGCTTGATGCATTAATTTGGGCTCGTATTCTTTTTTGAACAAATCCGGCCCTCCAAATGAATAAAATCGAATTTGCAATACACCTTGTTTCAAATCTTTCAATAATCAATAACACACACGTAAATTGTAGATTTCTATTAGCTTTAAACAATTGATAGTAACAATAATCATTAATTTCTATTTGCTAAATACCTGAAATCTATGCATACCGATAATAACTTTTAGCAAGCACGATTAAATAAAAAATTAAAGCAAACACCCTACTTGCCATCAAATGTCAAGCTTACAAGCTTACCTACAAAAAAAACACTTAAAAGCTTGAAATCGCTTGACATAACCCCAGAAAATTTTAACAGAGCAATTACTTCTGTCTATTTGACGCGCAAACCAGGGACATTCTTTAATCCCATCTTGCCAAGAGTAATCTTGGCTATTGCTGGAGGAGTGTCAAGCCCCATGCTTCGACTAAACTCATTTGCAACCTCTACAAGTTTCATTTTGTCTCGTCCCACACTCTTATTGGAATTATAGTACCCAAGCCATGCCTGGTATGCTTTTTCCTTGCTCTGCATATCTACCTTCGATAAAGCACGCTCCACCTTATGATCATAAGATCAAAAGGGGAAAAAAAAAAAAGAATACATGTATTAGACAACTCGACATATATCATGTAAGAAAAGATAATACAAAATCTCTAATAGAATTGACCAAGGAAATAAATGAAATTATGTGTCTACTGGCATACTTTCTTCCTCGTATCAGGATCAACGATTGGCGGTGTTGCCTTGGTTATGGGAAGATCCTTGATAGACTTTAAGAAGCTGTCCTCCCATGGTGCCAATAAAAGTATCCCTTGCCCTTCTTTGCCTTTACGCCCGGTTCTGCCAAGCCGGTGTATGTATTGTTCTCTTTCTGATGGCGCTCCAACCTGCAGATAAAACAAGTGGTTTGTGATATGAATTTTAATCAAGAAAGGAATGGGCAGATTTAGGTTCATTATTAGTTCCAACCAGCAAGAACTGACCTGTCCCAATCACCCAAACTAAATCAACCAACCTAACCCCAAAATTAAATGAACCGAACTGACCAGTATATGGCCAACCCAATAAGCCCTAACCTGACCAGAAATCAAACCAAAGGTCTTAGCATGCAAATACGAACCAAACTAAACTGACCCAAACCAAAGTCGATCAGGATTGCCCATTTTCTATCTCTAGTTCACCCCAACCCCTCCCTTTCCAAATTGCTTTCCCAACATGCCTCAGACTAAAGCGGCTGGTTGAGGCCTAACAAGCAAAATAGGCAGTAATATTACCTGTATAACTAGGGTAACATCTGGATAATCAACTCCGCGTGCTGACACATCAGAAGTTACAAGTATAATACCCTTTGACTTGCGGAACTCATCTGACACTTTGGTCCTGTAACTTTGTGGTTTCCTGGAATGAATCTCACGAACATTCAAGTTAAGCTCACCAAGAAGATCAGCAACAAGTCCTGTGACCATTGCTGTGGTACAGAAAACAAGAACCTGCATAGAGAATGTCATGAATCCACATCAAAAACATTTGGGCATCATATTTATATAAAGCAAATCAGACAAATAGAGGTCACAAAAGGAAATCAGATGCAATTTTTGTACTCAGTAAATTGATCAATAATCGCACCTTGTAGTTCACATCATCTGAAATATGGTCCTTCAGAATAGTGTATAATAGAGGAAATTGGTTCTCCAGGGGAGCAACTAAATGCATCTGGCTGACCTGTAAAGTTCATAGATGTTTTAGGAATCGGAAAACAAACACAACCAAATTACTATATGGGAAGTAACCCTCAACCCCCTAGTGGCCATCATCATCAACAACAACAACAAAAAAAAAAAAAAAAACTTGACATTTAATTATTAAACATAGCTCTGAGCATTATACAGATCTTCTCTTGAACTGTGAGTGAGTTCTTGGTTCGTCTTTCATTTTCTTCATTACAACTTTTCTTCCCCAACCCAACCTCCTACGCCTCCTTTTAACCACAACTAGGGCAGTTCATCGGTTCTCCAGACCGAAAAATTGAATTTCAAGAACCGAAGACCGGACCGATTAAACTAGGACCGGACCTAAAATGGTCCAAACCCGGACCTGACCGGTTTGGACCGATTTTAGAATTTTTAATAAAAAAATTTCTCTATTTTAAATAATTTATGAAAAACTCAAAAAAAAAAAAAAAAAGGAAAATATTTTAATGTCCTTTTTTGTATGTTTAGTACAAAAAAGCTCATATGACTAAAAAATTTCAAACTTGTTAAGGATAATCTTAATCAATATTAAAGGTTTTATGTATAAATTTAAGCAAAAAACCTGTCCGGTCCAAGACCGGTTTATATAGGGTTTTGGACCGGACCGGAAAAGTAAATTACTCGACCCGAAGCCGGACCGATTAATTTGGTCCGGACCGGTCCGGTCCATTTTTTTGGTCCGAACCAATTTTTGAACACCCCTAACCACAACCATCAAGACCCACCCATCTCATAGTGTATTAAAAAAAAAAAGGAAACTAAGGTGCTGTGGCATAACCGCACAAGAAAATATAGGTCAAGCATTATAATTGTTCTAGGTGAGGCAATTCCAAAAAAGCGCACAACCGTCTTTTTATACCCTAAGATCTCTTCTTGGGTTTATTCCCCAAATACTACCTCCGTTTTTTTTAATTGACACGTTTTAACTTTAGCACTATTCACACTCCCCTTTGACCATATTTCATGCTTTATACGTAAAGAAAAATATAGTCGTGTAGGATCTTGTAAGATTCGCACGATATATAGTTCTAAAATATCTAACTTTTCATAATTTTTACTTATCGATAATTAAAGATATTAATGGTTGAATTTGTGCAATGGCAAACGTGACTAAAGAAACGTGTCAACTAAAAAGAAACGGAGGATGTATTATTTACTTTTAGGCCCCGTTTGGTTTGTTGTAAAATGTTTTCATGGCAAATGATTTTTCCTATTATTTCCCATTTCCCTTTGTTTAATTTGTGAAGGGGTGGAAAACAATTTTCCCAATGGTGGAAAACATTTTCCTTCACAAAACAAGGGAAGCCACATTTTTCCTCCCTTCTTTATCTCCTTTTTTTACTTTCCTCTCATCCATCCCCACATTTCCACTCCTATTTTTAATTTCTCTTTTACCTTTTCTTGTAAGAACCAAACAAAGGAAAACTATATTGCCAAGTGTGGTTTTCCTTGAAAATATGTTTTCCATGAAAACTAATTTTTCATTGAAAATGTTTTACATCAAACCAAACGGGCATTAAGTCATTGTATTTTTCCTTCTCCTCGTTTAACTGCTACAACAAATTCTCCTCATCATAGTCATCCAGTTCAATATAAAACTACTCTACAGTTTTCAATGATGTGGAGGCTTGATTAGATTCTATGATTTGTGGTCCAGATGGGGAGGGGGGGGAAATACAAAAAATATCTTATGTATTAATGAGGAAGAAAAGGGTGGTGGTGGATCTGGCGGTGGTCAAAGGAGGGGGGCAAAGAGAGTAGAAAATGGGTTCAAAAGAAGAGAGGGATAATGGTGGAGGTGAAGAGGAGAAAACAGTTGGACGGTTGGACCACAGTGGTATTTAGGAGATGGTGTTGGGTAAAGAAGAGAGAGAGTGAAGAAAACCCTAATAAAAGAAAGAAAGAAAATCAACTTCCTACACTCGGCGCCCAAAATTACATTAGTACCATGTTGAAATTTTATTTTAAAATACCCACACAGAATAATAGGAGAATTCTCATAGTCATTAGAATATTAAATAGCTTGGCCAAGCAAATGCCTCATACTCAATAAATACAAGAAAGCTTTTGACATCAAAAAATAGGACCATGAACGCACCTTTGCATGTGTTTCCTCACTACCTTCTTGAACAGTACTGATAAATTGATGATCTCTTTTTAAAGCAATATGGCAGATTTGATGGACCTTCAAACAAAAAATTGTTCAGACGAAAAAGCCAAATTTATTATATTGCATTGCCTATGCTCTGATACCCTCAAACAAAAGAGAAACTTGAGAACTTCCAGAATTTTTTTACATCATTGACAGAGGACATGCATATGCAATCAAATGCTGAGAAAACTAACCTCATCTGATACAGTAGCAGAAAATAGTAGTGTTTGCCGCTCTTTGGGAACGGCAGCAATGATTTTCTCAATGGCCTTGCGGAATCCCATGTCTAACAAGTGATCAGCTTCATCAAGTACAAGAATTTTCACACCCCTAAGCCGAGTGGCAAATCCTGCAGTGTTCTCCATATGATCGATTAGCCTTCCAGGTGTAGCTACGAGAATCTGTGTCCAAACTTAAGTTAACTCCTTGCCCTAAAGAAAATCTAGCAATAAAAACATACCCTAAGTCCCAAAATTTCCTCACCAAATAATTTGGCAGTGTGGTTGGTACTTTACTAAATACAAGAGAGAAAGATAATAAA